ATAGCTAATTTACTGATCGAATGAATGTTTGCTTTTCTTAATGATAGAATTAAATGTGAAAGAGGAAATTTGTTAACGTCTACAACACAGATAACGAAAAAACCTTACTGTTAATCATATTGAATGAAATTATCTTTACATCGAATAGTTTAATAGGGTTAAAAAAGAAAAACTAAGTGCATCATCGTCAGAAGTTAAACTTTTGTTTTTACAAAAATTCTTATTAAAAGTTTCAAAATTGAAGGGAACATTTTTTTTCTAACATTTCCAAAATTCTATTTTGCTCTCTTGATTTGTCCGTTTTCTTTTAATGCTACAATGTTCATTTATTACTTTTGTAATTACAGTTTGTTTATTTAAGCGTATTGTTTGAATATTTCACCTTTAACCTTTTAATGATGTTATCATTTTGAAATTAACCATTCTTTTGGATCAATCAAATCGAACATCTCAATGTAATTTTGAAACTCTTTTTGTAATAGAAATTTAGCAAATTTTGTTTCCCATAAAAATTGAAAACCTACGAATACATCAAACCCAAATTTATTGCTTTTAATATTTGTAGTATAAATTGTATCCAACTTTGAAACAGATTTCCTCATTGTATTCAACACAACTCGAAATCTAATTTAAATTTCAAAGTGATAAACCATCAGCAATATATCTATTCACGAATAACAATTTCCTTTTTTATATAAATTCATCAGATGGAAAACCTGCTAATGATAGTATAATAAAACATATTGTTACCCAAAGTTAATTTTGAACTAATTATATACAAGTGATCAGAGCAAACTTTAAGGCAGTATTTCAAAATTTATTCGAGGCTTTTTAAAAGAGGTATTTCTCAGAATCATAATAATATCAACATCATGGAAAGAATTATCATTCATAATGGCATCATATAGTTGCATATTTCATAAAAATCCCTGCAAATGATAACAAATATCCATTTTCCAAATATTCCATTGTTAACAACGTTGTGGAAAAAAAAAAGGAAAGAACTCTAAGATAGAATACAATACAGAATAATGAAATGAAGGACTATACATCATATTCTGTTACACAATAATACTAGGGACGAGAACCAGAAATTACTCTTCTAGGTAGTATTTTCAAAAAACAATAAATCAGAAGACAAATATGTAACAATTATTTGATGTAACAAAATGTATACACTTTGAAGACGAGCACATTAAAAATTATTTTGCAAGAATTGCCTTAGTATATGCTTGTTTTCAAAGAGTAAAGTTAATTTTGTTTTTTTCTGGTTATATATTATATATATTTCAACTCATGCTGAAATATAGGAAATATTAGAGGAACATATATGTTATTCTGTTGCATTTAGAGTCGTAAAAAAAATACCATGCAAATTTTATTTCAATTTCAGAAGTTTTGGCAAGTCTATTTTATCACTTCTGGACTCCACTGATTTAAGAGGAAGATTAAACCTCATACGAACTTTAAATATATTGAATTAAGAATTAAGTTACCTAAATGAAAAAAAAATTTGTTAATTAAGTAGCCGCAACAAATTCATTCAGATCAATACAGGGCAAAACATTTTTCAGATGAGCTTGTCGTTTGTCAAGTATTCCGTTAACATGTTTTCCAGGATATTCCACAGATAAAATAGCATGCTTCCTTCTGACACAATCATCCCGTAATGAATCAATGTATTTCTTCCGTTCAATTTTATAACCTCGACAATATTCGAATTCTAGAAAAAATAAATGAATTTAAGTTGTGGAATTCGAAAAATCAAACTAGTACATTTCCAAAAATTTTGAAAGAAAAAATTTAAAAATGAGCACTAATGGTATGCCAGCAAGGGCAAATTTACAACAACAGATGTCCTCAAAAAATATCGGCTTTCGAAAATAAAAAATTAAATTTATGATACATACGTTCAATGGCACTATCAACATCCCAGCCATCGACTTCAATCAAGTATCGACAAATCATGTATCCCGTTCGATTCAAACCATGCGTACAATGGACGCCAATTAATTCACCTTAAATTTGATTATATTACTCATGCAGCTGAATATTCCCATATTTTTCACGTAACCAAGAGAATTTTCCACAAGTCTGACTCAAAAATATAAAATTCTATGTGCTTTGGGCCCTTTAACGATTGAAAATTATCACAAGATACAAAAAATTTTAAAATTTTAAAAAGGAATAAAATTTGCACTTCTCTTTCACAGCTCATCATTGCAGGAAACCGGAGTGAACACATGAAGGAAATTAGTTCAACACTAGCCCAAATATGGGTAACTACTTCACTCTTGGTATGTTGTAATGTAGTATCACCATTACCAACATGTCGAGATCATTGTTGTAACTATCATGCAATCATCATAAATCAATGTTGTCATTGCTACGCTACCTTCTGCATCACGTTACGAAATGAAAATTACACTTTGAGAACAAGGACAAATACATATCCTATATTACCTTGTTTATTAAAAAATGAAATACGAACCAGTATGGACATGTTTTGATAGAAAATCATTGACGACGTTATAAAATTTCTCAATATTTTCCACTTGGATATTTATGTGATGTCCCATGCACCATATCTTTTCATACTTAACACCGACATCAGTCCATTCACGAGGATCATAATATTTCGTAGTTGCTGTTAAATCAATAACAAGACCTATTTGCTTACCAGCAGCATTGGCCTGGAAAGAAATAATTTCTAGCCTTCAGAAAAATTTTTATTATTGTTATATATAAGTCAGAAACCTATAATATCAAAATAAGCATATATTTTCTCACTAGAAATAATGCATTAACTACTGATTCTAACTAGTCTAGAGAAAAAAATAGGAAAATATCCTTAATTTTTTATTATTGCTAACCAATATCTTATTTATCACGACTAGTTATGAGCAACCTTGAATTCTATTTGATAAAAAACTAATCAAAATAATGAGAAAAATATGCAGAAATATGAAACGCGCTTTAACTTTTCCAATTCTACTGTTTTTTATCAAATAGAATTCAAGGTTGCTTATGAAGCTTTTATTTAACTAGGTACATTAGAAAATGACTTCAGCAGTAGAACCTACCATATGCAGTAAATTCTTCGTTTCGAAAATATTTTCCACGTCGAATTCATCACCACGATTTAGGAAATAACTGTGTCGCAGGGGTGTCTTAAAGGCAACAAACCGTGTTCCCGGCATATCCTTCCCCACTGGATCATAATCAATCCACCTGAGATTAGCATTACATCATATTTAATAATTCCTACGGCTAAACTAATTTGCTGAAAAAATAAGTGTAAAGAGGGAAAAAATACTTCAAATTCGTACGAAACAAAAGAAAAGGAGGAAAAAAGAAAACTTAAGGGTCCAGAAATCAGTGTATTACCTATCGGGAAATCTGTGTGGATTAGGTATGATTTGCTGCAAACATCGCTTTTCGTCACGCTGTAATTTATCCGTACGCAAGGATCGCTGCGTCATGCTTGCTTTTTCAATGATTAGCAAAGTGTCTTTTTTGGCACAATCTGCTGGAAGGATTCGAAGGTCACTCAGATATATGTTTATATACAATCCATAAAAATGCCTACTGTCGACTTACCGAAATTAAAGCTATATTTAAGTAAAATTTCTACAATATCTACCAAACAAGATGATGAAATCTTGCAAGTAAAATTAATGTAATGAAGAGGATATAAGCTAACAATGGAGACAATATCAGAAAAACATCTCAGTATCTATCCATGGCTTCACAATGGACAATGCTAAGGGTCAATCATATTTCCATGATAATCACGATGAAGCTTACCAAAATTCTTCCTCTAATTCTAGAATACATGTACGTGGAAAAAATCCAATACAGTCAGTTTTTACAGATCACAATGTACACTTCATCTATTCGTCACCATTAGACTATAAACTACAATATTCCTTCCCTTCTTTCATCTATATAGATTACCTTTCCTGCAACATATATCTCCAACTCAACAAAGGATGAATTCTTATATTTCAACCATTATGCAATCTATCAACAAACTGATAGTTTAAGTAATGACAAGGAATTTGTTAATTTATCACATTGTTTGCTTATTATAGGATTCATTTATCATTACTTATCAATTTATCATGTACCTTATTGATAAGAACAATATTAGAATCCTGAATAAACATATAATGCTAACAAACGAAGTCAACAAATTAGCTCCCCTAATACCCACAAAAAACGGAACATAATCATAAATCAGCTGGGATGAAATAATTTCATAATGCTAGGTTCGTTCGAACACTTTGTAGCATAGTGTCTTCCGCACTCACCCGTGGATTGATCCGTGTTATTTGCCCGACGTGATTTCGGGTAGTGTAAGGTTATGTGGTTTAACAATTTGTGATAAGACGTATGCTACTAAACTTATCCAATTATTGGAACCGTTAGTTTTAGAAAGTTTACTAAAGTGAATTTTTTTTCAACTTCAAATATTTAAGCGCTTAGCTTAAAAATTATCTGAAATAATGAAAAAATAAAATTAAATAGATTAAAATGTTGCAAATACATATTGCCTAAAGATTAAACAATCCTTTTAGTTTAACTTTTAATGGTATCAAAAATTCAAAAAGCAAAAAAAAAAGCAAGTTTTGAAAGATGACAAACTCAATAGTAAGAGTAAAAAGTTAAAATTTTTTCAAAAAAGGAAGCTTGAAAAACTTTCTAAACAACTTTTGACAGTTAGAATTTCGATTTAAATTACTTATCCTCAGAAGAATAAGAAAAATGAAAAGTTAGAAAAATTTTTTATACAATTCAACTGATTGCTGTATGAAGTGCAAAATGAACTTTTTCCAATAAAATGTACAAATGCTATGGATGAATGAAACCAGCTCCAGCGACAGTCAAAATTAGAAATAATTGTTGTGATGAATGCCTTCGTAATTTACTAGTTTTCCTAGCTAATGGACTATATGTTATTGTCATAATGGAACTGTTTCAAATCTATCTCAATTTTTCATATTATGATAATTTAAGGCGACAACAACTAATCACATTGTTTGTTCTGAACCTTTTTTTTCTTTTTTTTGTTTGAATTGACGATGTTTTTCATATATATATTTAATTTATAACATAATATACAAACATATATGTGATAATATATATTTAGATCAGTGATCCTTAACCGGTGGTCCGCAGGGGCGGAAGCGCGGTGAGTAGAAAATACGCGGGGGCTGTTCGTATCAGTGTTTGGTAAACTAATACGTTAAAAGTTCTGATTAAAGTTTATTCTCATATTAACAAAGTTTATTGTTTTTGAACCTTACAAATCTCTGTTACAAATACGAAAGCTAAAATGGTTCCTGGTCAAAGAAAAAGATTGGAAATAAACTGGAGCGCATAAAAGTACTTGAAAAGGAGTAGAACTAGAAAATTCACTATGACATATAAATTTAGGTAAATAACAAATGAATGGAAATATTGTTGGTGAATATATCGGGAACAAATAGAGAGGTAAGAGAAATTACCATAATATACATTTTCGATTATAACATAAATATTACAATATGCTCGTTAGATTATTTCAAATTCTTATTTTTTTTTACAATCATTTGCAAAATAAAAGAGAAAAATTTAATTAAAGAAATTAACTGAATGCATTTGATTTGCATTAAAAGCATATTCATGTGTTTTAGGAGAAACAAGGTGAATAAAAAAAAAAAAAAGAAGAAGAAGAAGAAGTTAAATAGGCCATATTCCTCTTTTCTTATTAATTTTGACAATATCTCTTCATCATTGTTTATTCTTAATATTATCATATAATATTCTTTATATCATATATTTTTAAATAAAATAGATTGGTGGTTGGATGATTGTTATTTAAATAACCTTGATTTAGTCCCGACTAATTGTGATTTAGTCCCTGTCCTATTATGATATGTAGGGAAAAGAATATTATTGCTCTCTAGTGCATGATTTTGAGAGCTTTTCTAATTATTTTACATTTTCCATTTTATTTCAAAATTGTTTTGAATTAAACCACCGTTTAACTGATTGATTTGAAATTGTCTGATATTTCAACAGAAAAGTAACATGCGTGTTCAAATTATACAGACAAAGAATGATGTTCTTAGACAGTGCAATATATAATAGATAAAATATAATTAATAAGTTTATTGATTTTGAAACTCGAAAATTTCATTTTTCGTTTCAAAATATTCATTATAAATGATGAAATTATTGATGGGATTTTTATTCATTAAGGGGTCTTTTTGGAACAACCGCGGAAATTAATGTTCCTGGGTTTTTGGTGGTACTTTGGTTCTTGAAGTCACGAATATTTCAGATAATTGAATTTTTCAACAATTTCCAGATGCTGGTCACTTCATAAATCAATTAATAAATGCTGCATTTGTTCATGGAATTGATTTCTGAGGTTTCCCAGGAAAATCAGTAGTGGTGGAAGATTCGTTCATATGCATTTTAAAGAGGTGCAGCAATAAAGCAGTTATGGAGTTAGATTATCAGGTAGGCAAAATCTAAATATGAGATATTGAAAACCTGAAAAAGCGATATTTCCAAATTACTAATCTATTTCGTGATTTACAGTAATCTCAAAAGTAAGAACTGAGAGATGAAAGAGTTAATCTTAGGTGATGGTAAATATTAACATGAAATGAATAATGTGAACTTCAATTGTTAACTTGACAAAAACTCATGTAATTCGATTCTTTTGTGCATTTCTTATCGTTTTATGTTGTTTTTGTTTCTGTTGTTTTCATTTATTTATTTTCTTTTGTTTTTGTGTTCTTTTTCTTTTTGCTTTTATAAGCATTTCTGATCAGAAATGCTTAATTTATATAGAATGGATGAAAGAAATAATTAATTTTCATGAAAATATAAGGAATAGAACTTTTCCTTGAGAAAAGTTATTCAAGGAAGTTTGTTTTATATAAAGATTATTTGTATGATGTTATGATCGTATCAATGCTGCTCATTGCTATCATCTTCTTTCCTCTTTCAGTTTATGCTAATCCAAAAATTATCACACTTTCTTTTTCTGCCATTGGTTTATTATATTCATTCAATTAACTCTTCCTATCATCTTTGTCATCAATTCTACAACAATGCTGGACAGAATGATGAAAATATTTGATTCAAAAATGGTTGTTGATTTTATCCTATTTTTTTTTTTTTTTGGAATATTTTCAAACCAGTTTTTTTTTTTTTGTCTGGTACAATTATGACGCTAATACTCAACAGTAATTTCTATTAACATTCATAGTTTTGAATTACAATTTGATAGCAGTAGCATTGTAGTCATTGTAGCAGCAACTGCAAAACCAATAGCAGTAGTGGTAATAGTAGTAGTAATAGTGGTAGTAATAGTAGTAATGTTGATAGTTATGTCCTTTCGTACACCACAATCTTCATAGAGTGTCACTGACATACATACACACACTTACACATACACAAGCAAGCATATGTATATCCAAAATGTCACATGCACACATACACATACAAATAACCGACAGATACAATAAAGACGGTTAGTCATCCTAGCAAATCCTATCGGCACTTTTCACTTTATCCGATGGTCATCTCTTCCTCCTCATCCTCCTCCTCCTCCTCCTCCTCCTCCTTGTCCTCTTCTTCGTCGTCTTCATTATCGTCATTATTTCCCACCTCCCCCGCAATTATCATTTTTATCATCGTTATTTCGTTGTTTCATTTTTACGCGATTTATTTGAATGTGCTAATTTATTGATTTAATTTTAACTTATAACATGTAATATTGCTATCAGTAAGTGCTTGAAAACAAATTAACGTTTGAGTGGGACAGTGGTACTAATTGACAACAAGAAATACTTACTTAGTAACTTATTTAAACTTATTTAAGTAAAGTTGCAAAAAAAGAATTTCGAAGTTGAACATTGATCGATTATAAATTAAAGTTTTTTACGTGACAATAGCAACAATTTATTCCTGTTCTTCTATATGTACTGCCTACATTTTATGACAACAAATTGTCCAAAATACGTAGGACAAATTAGGTTTTAACGCAATCAAACTGGAAATTTTCAACTCAAAGATCGATTTTTTCTTTGTAGTTTTTTTTTTTTAAAAAAGAACAGAAACCCATTTTTTCTTTTTTTCTACTTTCTAATGAATATAAAAAGTTCATAAAAATTCGGCGCTATTTAAAAACGATTGAAAAGAAAATCGTATGAATAACGATTTAGCTTCAAATCAAATTTCACATTCATTCCAATCCCAGAATTTGTTCCATTTTTCAATTCTTCGATTTCTTTCATTTCCATTAATAATAGCAGAAACTATTTATGTAAAGGTTAAAGATAAATAATTAGCATATGAATGGCGAGCGGATAAATATTAAATTTAGGTTATGAATGGACGAGCTTATTTTATAAGTCCTTGAAAGAGATTGTATACAGTTATGCGCCATCAACGTTTTAGTTAAACCCGGATGAGAATTTTTGTTTTGTTTTAATCATTTCTTTCAACATACGACGATAAATTAAAATTTAATAATTGGGAGGAAATCCGAAATGAAATTTAAAAAATTAATCACAAAAAAAAACTTATGTGAAATATCCTTTCCAAATTATGATTGTTCCACCAGACATGAGTTACAAAATATTGACATTTGGTGTTAAATGTTAAAGGATGAGAAAGAATTCCTCGATCGCCATCGACAGCTATAGTGGTTTTTCTTTTTTCATTTCCAAATTTATCCGTTAAGAAATGATAAAACAAACTGTCCTAATTTATGCAATAAACCATTTCATTGCTATCAATCAATCCAATATGGACAACATTTTTCGTCTAATCATTAAAATCATCTGTGTTAGTTAAAGAATTTTCTATCTTTTAATCAATTTATCTAATTTAAGAGACTATTTTCGGCAAATCGCCATTCCCTTCATTCTTTATTTTTCCTTCCTGCCACAGGAATTTCCGTCTTATCATTCTTTCATAATTTTCCCTCACATCTGGAACAATTTACATAGTAATAGTAGTGGTAGTAATAGTAATTAATAATTAATAATAATAATAATAATAATAATAATAATAATAATAATAATAATAATAATAATAATAATAATAATAATAATAATAATAATAATAATAATAATAATAATAATAATAATAATAATAATAATAATAATAATAATAATAATAATAATAATAATAATAATAATA